AAGGGTCGGGGGAGGTGATTGACGGCCTGGGGGCGGGGACGGGGGAGATTGACGGGCGGGGGCGGGGCCGAGACATTGATTGACAGCCGGGGGGATTCTGTGGGGCGGGGCCTCCTAAGAGTGCACCTAAGGGGCGGGGCTTCCCCTCGACCAGAGTGATGGGGGCGTGGCCTCAACACAGAAGGGGCGGGGCTTCCTGATCCCCGGATTGACACCCTGGGGGCGAAACTTCGCATTTCTGAGATTGATAGCCTGGGGCGGGACTTCCTGTTTCTGATCTTTGACACCTTGAGCCTGGGAGTTAAAGTTTCCGAGATTGACACACTGGGGGCGGGACTTCCTGTTTCCAAAATTGACACTTTGTTGACAAGACTTCTTTCTCTGATTGACATCCTAGCGCTGGGACTTTCTGTTCCCGAGATTGACACCTTGGGGGCGGGAATTCCTGTTCCCATGATTGAATCCCAGGGGGTGGGACTTCATATTTCCAAGATTGACACCGTGGGATTAAGGACTTCCTGTTACAGATATGGACACCCTGGGGGCGGGACTTCCTATTTTGTGAATAACACCCAAAGGGCGGGACTTCCTGTCCCTGTGATTGACACTTTGGAGACAAGAATTCTTTGTCTGATTGACATCCCAGGGGCAGGACTTCCTATTTCTGAGATTGACACCCTGGGTTTAGGGACTTCCTGTGTCAGACATGGACAACCTGGGAGCGGGACTTCCTGATTCCCATGATTGACACCCTGGGGTTTAGGACTTCTTGTTTCTGAGATTGACGGCTTGGGGGCGGGACTTCCTGTCACCATGATTGACATTGTGAGGGCGGGACTTCCTTGTCTGCAATTGACCCCGCCCTCCACCCCGACCCCGCCCACTACCCCGCCCCCGCCCACCACCTCCACCCCCAACCTCACCATCTCTTCCTCTTCCTCCCCGCAGAGCTCCGCCCACCGCACCACCCGACCCGGACTCCTGACCTCTGACCCCGCGACCCCACGCCCGACCATGACGTCCCCCGCGCCCGCCACCATCGTGCTCGACCCCTCGGGGGCGGCGCCGCTGTGCCCGGCCCTGGGCCTCTACCTCAAGCCCATCGCGCGGGTCTCCATCTCGGTGTCGCTGCCGCCATTGCCGTCATCGCCGACGTCATCGCCGACGTCATCACGGGGCCGCGCGGTGTCCAACTGGGAGGTGATGGAGCGGCTGAAGGCCATGGCGGCCGGGGCGGGGCCGGCGACGTCACTTCCGGGGGCGGTGACGTCACTTCCGGCCTCGCCCTTCGCCGCCCTGCGCCTGGCCCGCAGCTCCCAGCAGGCCGTGCGCTTCGAGGGCGAGCTGGAGCACCGCGGCCTGGTCCCCGCCTGCCTGGCCCGGCTGGACGGCCGCGCCATCAAGCTCAGCGGGGTGGCCCAGGCCCTGCGCGTGCGCGCCGCCGAGGCCCCGCCCCCGGCCCCGCCCACACCCCGGACCGCCGGAAGTGACCAACCCGGAAGCGGAAGTGAACCCGGAAGTGACGGCGAGCCCTACGACACCATCCACCTCCAGGGCCTGCCCTGCCGCTGGTTCGCCCCGCGCGGCGCCCATCCTGGGGTCGCGAACCCGACCCGGGGTCACGGAGGTCAACCATCCGGGGCCCCATCCGGGGTTTCATCCAATTCCGGGGTCATCGGCGGGGTCACGAACCCGCGGGGTCATGGCGCCCAGGCCTCCCCGGCCCCCAATCCGGCCAAAACTGGATCCGGATCGACCAATCCCGGCGCAGTTCCTGGAGCTTCTGGTGACGTCATCCCCTGTGACGTCATCTCCGGTGACGTCATCACCCGTGACGTCATCGCCCGTGACGTCATCACCCGTGATGATGTCATCACCCATGATGACGCCGTCGGCCCCGGTGTCCATGAGGCCGGCGGTGGCGGCGGCGACGTCGACCCCGGTGTCCATGATGACGGCGCCGACCCCGCCATGACCCCGACCCCGGGCTCTGGGGTCGCCGCTGGGGTCACACTGGGGTCAGGGGTCACCGCGGCGGGGTCGGGGGTCGCGTCCGAGCGCCCCAGCGAGGCGATCCTGCGCCAGGCCTTCGGGGCGTTCGGCGCCATCCGGCGCGTGGACATCCCCATGCTGGACCCCTACCGCGGGGAGACGACGGGGTCGGCGGGGTCAGGGGTCACCGGGGTCACCGGGGTCACCGTGGGGTCGGGGGTCGCCGGGGTCGCGGGGCCCCTGGGGTTCGGGCCGGGCGGCCCGCTGCTGTTCGAGGCCTTCGTGCAGTTCCGGGACCCCGCGGGGTGCGCGCGCGCCATGGCCGCCCTGCGCGGGGTGAAGCTGATGCTGCGCGGCGAGGACGGCAAGGCCGCGGCCTGCAACTTCAAGGTGGGTCACGGGGTCGGGGGTCACGGGGGGGCGGGGTCACGGGAGGGCGGGGTCAGAAAGTGGGCGGGGTCAGGGGTCTGGGAGAGACGTCAGGGCCGCGGCCTGCAACTTCAAGGTGGGTCAAGGGGGTCAGGGAAGGGGGTGGGGTCAGGGTAAGGGGCGGGGTCACAGGGGGCGTGGTCAGGAGAGGGCGGGGCCTGCGGCGTCACGGTGGCCGCTTGGGGCTGTGGGCGGGGCCTGTGGGGCGGCGGGTGGGCGTGGCCGCGGGAAAAAGGGCGGGAAGTTCGTGGGAGGGGCTTCAGCCTGACGGGCGGGGGTCTCGGGGGGATGTCAGGGGCGGGGTCACGGTCAGGGGGCGGGGTCACGGTCAGGGGGCGGGGTCACGGTCAGGGGGCGGAGTCACAGCCAGGGGCGGATTCACAGCCAGGGGCGGGGTCACAGCCAGGGGCGGGGCCTGCTCGAGGGGCGGGGTCACGGTCAGGGGCGGGGTCACGGGGCGGGATGACGTCAGGGGGCGGGGCCTCACCCGTATGGAGCCCAGGGCTCAGGAATAGGAGCTCAGTGTCCTCCAGACGGTGACGTCAGGGGGCGGGGCCTGCTCAGGGGGCGGGGTCACAGTCAGGGGCGGGGTCACGGGGCGGGATGACGTCAGGGGGCGGGGCCTCACCCGTATGGAGCCCAGGGCTCAGGAATAGGAGCTCAGTGTCCTCCACAGGGTGACGTCATGGGGGCGGGGCCTGCTCGGGGGGTGGAGCCAGGACGTAAGGGGCGGGGTCGCGGGGCGGGATGACGTCAGGGGGCGGGGCCTGACCCCGGTGACTGACAGGAGCCCCCGAATGGCGGCTCCAGGCCCCGCAGCCCGGATCTGAGTTAAGACGACGGGCCTGGGACTTGGGGGGCGGGGCCGGGGTGTAGGGGGCGGGGCCGGGGTGTCAGGGGGCGGGGCCAGGGTGTAGGGGGCGGGGTCTCCCCCCGGTGACTGACAGGAGCCCCCGAGTGGCGGCTCCAGGCCCCGCAGCCTGGATCTGAGTTAAGACGCAGGGCCTGGACTTGGGGGCGGGGCCGGGGTGTAGGGGGCGGGGCTGACGCAGGGGGCGGGGCCGGGACACAGGGGGCGGGGCCTCACCCGGTGACTGACAGGAGCCCCCGAGTGGCGGCTCCAGGCCCCGCAGCCTGGATCTGAGTTAAGACGCAGGGCCTGGGTGTCAGGGGGCGGGGCCGGGACGTCGGGGGGCGGGGCCGGTGACAGTGGGCGGGGCCTGGGGATGGGGGCGGGGCCTGACCCCGGTGACTAACAGGAGGCCCCTGAGTGGCGGCTCCAGGCCCCACAACGTGGTTGTGACCCAAGATGAGATGAGACGTGGGCGGGGCTGACGCAGAGGGGGCGGGGCCGGGACGTCGGGGGCGGGGCCGGGACGGAGGGGGCGGGGCCGGGACCGAGGGGGCGGGGCGTGTGACCCAGGGGGCGGGGCTCCACCCCTGACTGACAGGAGGGTCTTGAACCCCAGCCATGAGCCCCGCGATAGGGATTTACGCAGGACGGCGACTCGGGGTGGGCGGGGCCAAGGCACAGTGGGCGGGGCCGGGGCGGAGTGGGCGGGGCTTCTGCAGCGGTGATTGACAGGAGGCCCGGGAATGGCACCCTAGGCAGAGTGGGCCGGGCTGGGGCCCAGCAGGCGGGGCCAAGGCGCATTGGGCGGGATCCAGGCCGGAGTGGGCGGGGCCAGGGTTCAGTGGGCGGGGCTTCCAGACCTGTGATTGACAGGAGGCCCATGAATGGCGCCCTAGGTGGGGTGGGCGTGGCCTGGGGGCATTGGGCGGGGCCAGGGCATAGTGGGCGGGGCTTCTGCAGCAGTGATTGACAGGAGGCCCAGGAATGGCGCCCTAGGCAGCGTGGGCGGGGCCGGGCATGGTGGGCGGGGCTTCTGAGTGATTGACATTGACCCGGTGCCCCCGCCAGGGTGATGTGGGCGCCCGGGTCGGGTCAGGGCCGTGACCACTGACCCCGGGCCGTGACCCCGGCTGACCCTGCCCCCGCCCCCCCAGGTGACCCTGGACGCCACACGGCACCTGAGCGATGCCGCCATCCGGTGTCAAGTGGGCGGGGCCAGGGCGCAGTGGGCAGGGGCGGGGCTTCCAGGGCTCTGATTGACAGGAGGCCCAGGAATGGCGCCCTAGGCAGGGTGGGCGGGGCCGGGCATGGTGGGCGGGGCTTCTGAGTGACCCCGGGCCGTGACCTCTGGTGACCCCACCCTCCCCACCCCCCAGGTGACCCTGGACGCCACCCGGCACCTGAGCGACGCCGCCATCCGGGGTCAAGTGGGCGGGCCAGGGTGCAGTGGGCAGGGGCGGGGCTTCCAGGGCTCTGATTGACAGGAGGCCCAGGAATGGCACCCTAGGCAGCATGGGCGGGGCCGGGCATGGTGGGCGGGGCTTCTGAGTGATTGACAGGTGGCGCACAAACGGGTCCGGTCGGGGCCGTGACCCCGGGCCGTGACCCCTGGTGACCCCGGCTGACCCCCGCGCCCCCCCCCCGCCCCCCAGGTGACCCTTGACGCCACCCGGCACCTGAGCGACGCCGCCATCCGGCGCCGGCAGCTGGAGCGGCAGAAGCTGCGGGAGCTCGAGCTGCAGCGCGAGGAGCAGAAGCGGCGGGAGCGGGAGGCCGAGGCGCGGGCGCGGGCCGAGGAGCGGTGAGCGGGGGAAACTGAGGCACGGGGGGGAAACTGAGGCCCTGGGGGGGAAACTGAGGCCCTGGGGGGGAAACTGAGGCCCTGGGGGGGAA